CCACTGAATTCTGGGACCAATTTGAAAAGAAACGAGCTCTAAAACAACAACAGGTATATAACGATTAGTGGATACGTTTCAATCGTTAATTTATCTAATACTGTTGTATATTGTTAAACAGTATGATACAAATGTCGACATACAATTAAATACTCTAAAAGTGATGAGCACTGCTTCATCGTATCAGAGGAATGAATTATCCAAACAAATGGAAATTTCAGGTGACAATGATAAAAATCTGGTAAGATTATGAATATTACTAATATACAATTCTTTAAGAGTAGTTTACAATATACTTTTCTTTTATAGAAACGTCAAAATGATGACTATATTGAGAAAGTTGAGGATAGCGGTGTGAAGAAGCAGGAAAAAGAAAAAGGGAATAATTTGGTAGGTATTGCAATCCTTTATTTACTTTGTGTGGACATAGAAATATCTAAACAATTAAAATGAATTTTACAGAATGATAACGATCACAGTCAGGTTAAAAATCTCCTAAACGAGTTGCGTAGTTCAGAAAAAATGAAAAATTTAGTGGAATGTTTTCAAAAATATTGTAACGAATCTGTCGATGAATTAACTAAGAACGAAATTATGGATCTTACTCCGTCTTCGGAGTTCGTACTAAGATATACGGATGAAGATGACTACATGCAAGTTCTAAAAGAGACCTTTGAGTCTGTTGATGAGTTATTTCCAGAAAGCGCAATTAAGTTCCTTAATGAGTTTTTTTCAGAGGTATTGTTTTATACTATCCAGTGGTAATTTGTCTTTTTGCTTGTCAATTACATCATTGCTATTTATATCTTGGCAGACTTGTACTCACGAACAATGGGATGATAAGTTAGAAAGCTTATCAGAACTGGAAGAAGATCAATTTTTAAAAAAATTGAAAAGACTATTATTCGAAACGTTACCCATCTTGTAAGTAACTTTTATTATTCTCAGTTAAAACCACTATTTATTGACATTTTTATTTGTCTTTTAGCTTTGATGCATTTTCAATGCTCTATGATAATCCACTCAAAAATCACAATATGTTGGAAGAAGAGTACATGAACACATACATCCATCCCG